GGCACGTTGGGGAACCTGGCCGAGGAGCTCAACGGCTACAACAGGAGAAAAGGGGGCTTCACCTTCCGCTTTGGGAGATGAGGGCCTAGACTTGACCCCCCACCTCCTGCGGGTCACCTCATCCCATCCTTCCCTTCCATCTCACTTCTGTTTGCTTGGACAAAAGGGTATTGGGGGACTTTGCTGCTGGGATTGCTTTGGGGAGGGGGGACACTGCGTTTGCTCCACTTGCAGCCCTGCTCCAGATCTCACGTTCCCGTTTCCAGATGGTGCAATGGAAGAAGAGGAGGGTACCTTAAAAAGCAGCCACCGCGTCCCTTCCCCGGTCACACGCGGCCTTTGCTGGGGCACAGGGAAAGGGCCCTGTGCTGGGTCTCCAGCGCCGCGGTGCAGGCAGAGAGCAGGGATGCTGCACCAGGACAGGCAGAGCCAGGCGTCCAGGCTGGAGGTAGGTGGGCTGAGGGGTCACAGGGGGATAGTCCTGGTGCTGACAGTCCCCTGGGGACTGCCTGTAGCTGCCGTCCAGGACAGGGATGTTGGGGAGGAGCAGGTCCCTCCGAGCTCTCCGCTGAGTTGCTGCTCCTGCCTCTTAAGGAAAAGTCCCTGCAGCAGCAAATTCCGCTTAGTGTCAAGATGCCACTTACCAGAGCCAGCTCCTGCGTGCAAACCAGGGTAGCTGCTGCAGAAACTTGGGTATCTTCTCCTTGGAAATCCCTGGCGTGAGCACAGAAACCTGCCCTGGCATCACTAGTCCTGCTGCGGTCCCACCGCCCAGCTCATGCCCTGACCCCGAAACCCATCCTCAGGTGCTGTCAGAGTCCTCACCAGGGTGAGATGGCGACGACTGACCTTCAGCGTCCTCATCACATCACCCCAGCACTTGCCTGAAAGCCTGGCCCTTCCTAACACCTTCCTGGCCTCATCGCCACCTATTCCCAGCTGTAGCTGCTGCAGAAACTTGGGTGCTGAGGGGCTGAAACAAGGTCCCCTGCACCTATCCAGGGCCATCAATGGGTGCTCGGTGCCTTCCTGCTCTCCAGTCCCCCCCTGCTGCCAATGGTGCACCTTGGGGAATTGCTGGCCCCAAAAGCCAGCACGGCCATGGCTTCAAAGGACAAGCCCCAGGCTTCAGCGACTGCCTTCTCTTCCTTTGGGCAGATTTAGCTCTGCCAATGCCAACAATGACATTTGCTTTTGTGTCTGCCACTGCAGGCAGAGATATTAGTAATCAGAGGTCTGACTACCTGGCTTGCAGGCACTAACGGCAAGTTAGACACCTAACGACTGCTAATATTTCACTGCAGGCACAAAAATGAATCAGGGCAATGATTTGCAAGCGCTAAATTGCACCCTCAAAATCAAAGACCGTGGCAGGACTTGGGCGGGGGGGGGGAAGGATACTACAAAAAAAAAAAAATCAGGCTCCAAGAGGTGCATTGTAATATCCATCAAGCAGACAGACCACTTAACACAGTGCTGTCAGGGCCAGCGCGAATTCTTCTCGCAGCAGGAGCGGTGTGTAACTGATGGCTGAGGGGAGTGGAGCTGGAACTCGCAAGAAGACGGCAGCCGTGGGGCAGCAGGTCTAGGGAGGAGCGATGGAGGCACAGGAGCAGGCTCATCCAGGGAGCTATGCGTGGGTCTCAGCCCCACGGGTGCAGAACGGGAGGGACACCAGATTTGCAGGGGTACAGACGATGCCAGGATTTGGCCCTCGCACGAGGACGGCGCCGGCTGCGAGGGCGAAGGAGAAGAAAAGGGCATTTTCCTTCCCCTGCATCTCTGCTGCAGTAACCGTCTCACGCCAGGGGGACCACAGCAGCGACCACCAAACCCGGCGGCACTCAGGGTGGCTGAGCCCATGCAGCCCCCCCACCCCAGGCACCCCCA